AAGCAGTTCCGTTATTTTTTTCCTGCGTTTATACTGTCGTCTGCGTTCTCTTTCTAAGTTAGATCTCTTTCTGGCTTTCCTCAAAGGAACATGTTTCAGACAGACTTGATACGCTTCCGAAGTCAGTTTTACTATTCCTTCTGTAGGACTTGTATTACTTAGAACAGTTTCCCATGGAATGTTTGTAAGTTCCCTGTTTATTATCTCCCAGTCTATCCTTTTATTATTAAAATTGAATTTACTGAATAGCCCCTCTCGCTTTATCAACGTTTTAGGTCTATTCTGAGTATTGATGGTCGTTTGCACTTCAATGAGCTTGTGATCTGAGTATATGGTATCTGATATCGTAATGTCTCTGATAATGTCTTCATTGTTCGTAAAGACCAGATCTAGAATATTTTTATTTCTCGTTGGCTCCGATATCTGCTGATTGAGTGAAAATTTGTCACAGAATCTAAGTAGTTTTCTAATCTGTGGTTGGTTAGGTCCTGATAGATTTCCTGGTATAATATTATTGTTTGCTATTTGCCACCTGAGACTAGGCAAGTTGAAGTCACCTAGGAAGATAATATCAGGTATCGGGTTCTCCAAATTATCAAGGCTATTCTCTATTTTGTTTATCCATTCTGTGAATTCCTCAGCCGTTGCATCTGGAGGTTTGTATATTAGAATAATCACTAAATTTATTTTCTCTATTTTTAATCCCAGTACCTCTACCTCCTCATTTGTAACGTTTAGGAGCTCCGAGCATACAAGGTCTTCCCTAATATACAGACCCACTCCTCCATGTGACCTAATTTTCCTATTACACCTGTATAGGTTATATCCTGGAATCCAGATCTCACTGTCCAACAATTCCCCTGCATGGGTTTCTGTGAAAGCTCCAAATACTGCATTTGACTCCGTGAGGAGGCCATTTATGAACTGTACTTTGTTGTTTGTTCTTGTTTTCAGTCCTTGTATGTTGGCAAAGATGAATGAGGTTACTCTATTAGTGATACTGTAGTTTGAATGGGAGACTTTTTCGGCAAGCCCATTATGCGTGGACATAATGAGCTTGTTCTGACCAGTACTGATTGTTGTAGGGCAGTTGCCTGTCGTAGTTGTAGTTCCCTTTCGGTGTGTAATTGTATCTGTAATTCTGGAATGCAAGTGGATCTGGCATCCAGTTCCATACACTCTCCATGCTGCTCCTTTTGAATTCTCTGTCGGTCTGGTATAAAAAATTTAGAGAGTTTCCTCCAAATTCATTATCCTGCTTGCCACTCTTTATGTAGCGTTCCATGCCTTTCACGTGAAAGTGTGGGCAGCTGAGGTCATAGCATTTTCTGTCCTCCAGTGAGGTTTGGCACATGTCAGGCTGGAAAAACCTACATATTGATCCAAATCGACACTCACCTTTCCTAAGCATATTTAAACATTTTTTGGGTTGTCGGTAACTGCATTCTAATCCTTTCTTATTACCAGCATATCTATGTCTGCATATGCCCTTTGCATAAAATTTGCATAAGTCTGTCCTTCTGTTCTGAATTGCTCTATCGGGAACCGTCGTAGTGTCTGTCCCTTTCGAGCTGTCAGTGCTGTCTGGTACACTTTCTAGTTTTCTGTCATCTACATCCTGGCCTACTGAGTCAGAGTTTACAGCTTCCTGAGTTTCAGCCTCAGTTTCAACCCTGACTATAGCCTCTGCCCCTGGTATATTAGAATTGTTGTTGTTCCTTTCCCACTCCTTCTGGATGGCTGGTAGGCTTCCAATGAATGATGTTTTCCGATCATGCGTCATGTTATCTAGAAGGTTTTTTAGGATATTCCAAGCTGGCAGGTCATTTTTACACACCCAGAGCAAGTGGCCAGCTCTCAGTGCCGTAGTGTTACTCACTCCTGCACAAGCCGAATGGAATCTAGTCTTACAGATATAACATTCAATTCCCGTTACCTTTGTCTTTAAGGAGTTGTTACAGTGGCCACAAATTTGTTTGTTTACTCCCATTTTGCCTTGTTTTGTTGTATATATCTATATATTAATAATATTATATGTATACCGTATATTTGTAACAATATATATGTTTATTTGTTCTACTGTATGGTCAGTACTTATCGCACGGTCGAGGGTGAGGGTCCCAGAGGCTGTACAGTTGACACATTGTTGTCCCAGGCCGCGGCTGGAGGCCGTCAGTTGCCAGTTACTTGGGTTATAACACTGATATATTCATTCGCTTGTATTACAATAAGGGATTTTCTGCTTTATTTCCGACTTGCAATAGTATTAACTTTCTCTATTACTAATGGGGCCCAAGCCCCAAAGGCCCCAAGTCAACCCCTCCCCCGCCCTGGGAACCTCACCCTGAGGACCCGGGGCCGAGCTGTCCTCCAAACCCCCCACCTCTAAAGAAAAGGCAGGAACGAAGGGGGGCCCACTGGTCAGACCCAAAATCTCTGGCTGGATGACCAGGCTCGAATGCCTCCGCCGCCACTCCACCCCTAGGGGCGCCTGAGAGCTGGGTGGACAGCACTTCGGATTTGTAATCCTGAGGATCCGGGTTCGATCCCCGGTGGTGGCGGAGACAAATGGGCAAAATGTTTCTTTCACCCTGATGCCCCTATTACTTAGCAGAAAATATGTACCTGGGAGTTAGACAGCTGTTATGGGCTGCTTCCTGGGGGAAGGGGGGTGTAACAAAAAGGAAGTCTGGTCGAGGACTGAGCCACGGGGACGCTAAGCCCCTAAATTATCTCAAGATAAGAAAATAACCACAGGAGGGGACTCCCCCGAGACCGCTCAAGTCTCGACACCAACTAGACCCTACCCCGACTCTGAAACCTTCAGACATTTTGGAGCCGGAAGCAAGGGGAAAGGAACTGGACGATTAACAGAAGGAGAAGGACAAGCGAGGGGAGGGGGTGGGAGGAAGGAACCAAAGTCGAAGCGACTCCCACCCCTAAGTGCGGGTCCCTAAAACCAAAACGGGGCAGTCTAGGGGCATCTGAGGAAGCGACCAACCTAGAGCATTGCAGCAATATGCAACGCAGCTGTTGCCTGCACCCTCATGTCATGATCAGTAGCTTGGGTGAGCTGGAACACGTACAAACAACAAATGTCGCACAACTCTGGATCAAAAGAATCATCGACTCTACAGCCAGCATAGTGGAGGCACAACCGGTAATTGTCACTGAGACAAGGGGATAGATCAACTAGCAACCTCGCACGAAGCGAGAGGGAACATCCATCGGACCACAGAGCCCCCACGGGGTTTCCCAGGGCCCTTAGCCTTGGTAACATGCTAAGGGAAGCCCAGGCAAGGTACTGCAAACCAGCGCCCAAGACTACCAAGCAAACTTCTAAAAGCTGAGCCCCCGGGATGTGTTCACTCACGGGGGCCAAGCAAGGGAATACCACCAAGAAGACAATTATGGATATATAACCCTAATTGGAGATATATGGGCAACCAACCAAGGGCGGATTCCCCCACCACAGTAAAAAAAAAAAAAAACGCAAGAGGACAAGGCATCCAGGCGGAACAGAGCTGGCCGCTACATTAGGTGAAAACTAGCTGTGCAGTACTCCACGCTCCTACCAGTAATGAAAACTACCCACTACCCAGAGGCAAACAAGGGCAATAAAAACCCCAGCTGAATTCAAGGGCGGTCAATTACCGAGCAATAAAAGACAGAGCGAAGATAGATCCCAAGGCGACTTGTGGAAGATGACCCCATGCCTCAAGGGCAGTACTTACTGGACGCCTAAGGAAGGAAACCTTAGGGGCATGCAGCTTGAGTACCATAGAATAATACTCCTGGCTCACACACCACCTGTAGAGACTGACCATGCCAGAAGGCACAGAAACTGAAACCAAAGCAGGAGCCAGAGGAATATTACCTGCCAGTATCACATCAGCCAAGAACTCATGGTTGGATCGGTGAGGGTTTGGGGGCTCCCCTTCCCCCCCCCCCTCCCAGAAAGGGAGGGGGGGGTGCATAGACTGCAGCGCAGCAACGTGATGACGTCATGCTCATTTGCTAATTTTAGTTTGGGGAGTTCTATGCACTCATTCGGCTTTAGGTATCAATATTTTCACCTTCACCAGAATAGGGGTTTGTTTTGGGATGCCTACCTTTCTGGGTGCTAGACCCGGTCAATGCCAAACAATGCTTCCAACCACACGGGGGTTTCTATAGGCCAATGCTCATCGTGCCTCTCTGAGGGGGCCAGGTTCTGACTCGTGGTCCTTACTAGGCAAGAATTCCATGCACTTTGACTGATGCCAAAAAGCTAATAATGCTACATCAGCCTGGATAGCTCCGGGGAAGAGGATGGGGCTCCTCCCCCCACAAAAAAAAAGATCTCTCCTAAATATATTTGGGAACATTGCCAAAAGTAACAGATATAAACAATGAGTAATGTATTTATGTGATGATAACAAAATAGAGCATAATAACATACTTACTCATTATTATTTGTGTTATTATGTATTACTCAGCAATGTTACAAAGGCACCAGCTACATATCCACTTTGTGGACACTTACTATTCTTCTTCTTCTTTGTGCGATGGACAGGTGCTTGCATCTCTATTACTGCATTATCCACCAGTTCCAGTTAATAGGAACTGTTCTCATCATGAAAACATTTATCTTTTAAAAAAATTTGTCTAAAATCAATTTCTGAGAATATTTTGACGAAAGTTTCACGAAGCTGAAGCCAATAAGTTGGAGAGTTGGTTAACATTTTTAAGTAATTTTTACATAATTCAAATATTTTTCGATTCACGGCCACTTATGCTTAGCAGTGTAAGGGTTGAGAAACAATCTTGTTTATAAAATAATGATAAAATCATTATCAATTATTGCAACTTTCTATGAAAAACCAATTCCAAATTTGCACATAACAATTATTAAATGTTATATTTTCCATATTTAAAACTACTACAAGAGTAGAGAAACACAACACTAACATAAAAGTTCATACAATTTATAATATAGAACTTTCCATGTAGAAACTAACCTTAACTGGATCCTTACTCCTGAGCGTTATAAGTGCATTACCAGCATAAATGGAACGGACAAAAGTATCCGGAGCTTTCACCTCAATGATATCACTAATTGGTGCAACATCAAGTTTAGCAGCAACACGTGGTAGGAGAGACTTGCTTTGTGCAGAAGCACCAGCTGTATAAAATAAAAAAACAGTGTTGAATGTAATGAATTGTAATTTTCTGGGTGAAACCCGCAGGCTCCCAGGTGCTATCTAGGCTGATATGGATATATTAGATTTCGGCATCAGTCAATGTGAATGGAGTTCTAGGCCTACTGGGAACCACGATTCAGAACCTGGCACCCTCAGACACACACGAAGAGCAATGGTCTATAGGGTCAGGCACCCAGAGAAGTAAGCGCCCCCCAAAAAATCCCCTATTCTGGTTAAGAAATTGTTACTGAAATCTAAAATAGTGGACAGAACTCCCCAAACAAAAATGAGCAAACGAGCATTACGTCACCATGTCACTGCGTCACTTGTCTGTGCAGCCCCCCTCCCCCCCTCCATGGGAGGGGGAAGGGGGAGACCCCAGACCCCCGCACCAGTCGTCTACTTCTCAGTTCTGAGGTTGGACATAAAAAAAATCACGCGAAAACCACAGACCAGGGGTAAAGGAGGGTTGCCGGGGAGCCTCCGGAACTCACCCAGAAAATGGCCTTTCATTACATTCAACGCTGTTTTTCTGGGGGGGGGGGGGGGAGGCTCCGTTGGCTCCCTGGAGCTACCTACCCACAGATAAAAACCATAGGGACTTACCAAGGAGGCGGTCGCTGCTCACTCCTCAACGCATAGTTGAGACAACTGGCTGCAATCACCGACCCAAAGCGACACAGGCCCGACTAGGCCCAGGAACGTTTACAAAGTAACACGCAGCCAGGACCCTGTTCGACCTCCAAAAACCCAGTGCCCGAATGTCAACCAAGGACATATACCAAAAAGAGCAACAAGAGCAGCAAACTTGCAAACGTCATGGGCACGGGGATAGACTGCAGGCTGGCTAGACTGAATAACCCTGTGGATGACCTGGGAGACCCGAACCCTGGAACAAGGAAGAAGAGAAACCGGATCAACCCAAAGCGCATCCCCGACTACAGAGTCCATGGCGCGCAAATAACGGCAAAGAGCCGCAACCGGATACAACACATGATGCACCCCAGCCTGACAAACCAAGCATTAACAACCAAGGACCCCTCTGGAAAGCAGCAGTCTCATTCTTCGCCAGAAAAGAAGGAGACAAACGAACAAACCTACTGCCAGGACCAAACGAGCAGAAACCTCTGCGCCAGAGGAGAACATGAAGCTCCCCAACCTGACTCCCAGAGGCCAATGCCAACAAGAAAAGAGCCTTAGAAAAACAATCCTGAACCGAAGGGGGCAACAACAAACCGAGCAGAAGACAAATAAGAGAGCACTCTGTCCAAAGACCAGGATGGCTCAGGCGGTGCATGAGCAGGCTTTATGTGAAACAACGCCCGAGACAGCTTTCAAAACAGTGTAGAAGTAACAACCAACGCTGCACGATACAAGGCGACAGTATTTGGCATAAGATGACAGTCCTGAAACAGCCACGAGAGAAAGGACAAAACCTAAACCAAAAGTGAAGTATGGCGAAGGAGAGACAAAAAGAACTGTAAGGACCGCTAGGAAATTTCATACTGCCGCCGAGATGAATCCCGCAGTTGGGACACTATCAAAGAAGCTACCTGATCACCATACAGATGGTGGTAGACTCAGGTCAAAAAGACCAAACGCGAAAACTCAAGGAGAAAATCAAACCAGGCTCATAACAGACTGGACCAATCTGCTGAAAAAGGCGGAGCTGCTGGAAAATCTACGGGTTCGGACACCAAGCAAACAGCATCTAAAACCAAGGCTGGACAGGCCACCATGGGGCCAAGAGAACTACTCGTCCCTGGTAAGTCTCGAAGCGACCCAGGACCTGGAGCAACAGCCGAACCGGGAAAAAGAGGTACAGGAACCCCCACCTCGACCAGTCCTGGTCGAGTTGGCATCGACCCCAACAGCCTCACAGTCGGGGAAGGGCATCAAATATACTGGAAGACTCCTCCACCATGCTGACGCGAAGAGGTCCACCTCCGGGTGCCCGAACGTCTGGCAGAGCAAACTGAATGAGTCGGCATCAACAATCCATTCCATGAACAGGGAAATGGACAGGGACAGGCATCCAACAGAACATTGGACACCCCCCAAATATGAACAGCCAGAAGAGCCAAACCTCGAGAACTTAGCACTCACTCAGTCTGTCTAGGTCATCTTGTAGCCTCCTACTATCGTCCTCAGTTTCAATCCTCCTCATAATTTTTGCATCATCGGCAAACATTGAGAGAAACGATTCTATACCCTCTGGGAAATGTAAAAAACCAGCGTTGAATGTAATGAAACGCCATTTTCTGGGTGAGACCCGGAGGCTCCCCGGAGCTTTACCGGCTGATATGCTAATGTCAGACTTTGGCATCAGTCATGTGTATGGAGTTCTAGGGCCTACCGGGGACCACGAGCCAGAACCTGGCCCCCTCAGAGAGGCAAGGGGAGCAATGGCCTATAGAAACCCCCGTGTGGTTGGAAGCATTCTATGTCTGCCATCGACCGGGTCAAGCATCCAGAAAGGTAAGCATTCCAAAACAAACCCCTATTCTGGTGAAAATTGCTACCTAAGCCGAACTAGTGAATAGAACTCTTCAACAGAAAACACGGAAACTAGTATGACGTCATACGTCACCGCGCCGCTGTCTGCGCAGCTCCCCCCTCCCCGGGAGGGGGAAGGGGGAGCCCCAGACCTCCCACGCCGGCTATCCACCCATCAGTTCTGAGGCTGGATGTCAAAACACGCGAAAAACGCCGACCGGAGGGAGGGAGGGTTGCCGGGGAGCCTCCGGGTCTCACCCAGAAAATGGCGTTTCATTACATTCAACGCTGGTTTTCTGGGGGGAGCCCCGTCGGCTCCCCGGAGCTAACTACCCACAGAGGAAGGTCAAAGGGACAAAACCGGGAGGCGGACACCACGCACCCCCCAAGGAGGCGAGACAACCGGCAGCAAACGCCAACCCAAGGCGCCACAGCCCCGAAAATCCCGGGAACAACACGAGAACCACGAGCAGCAAGGCCCCTGCACGAACACCAAAAATCCATGCCCGAAAGACTGCAAGGCCACGTCGCCCAGACGGCAGCGAGAGCAGCGAAGCCACGAACGCCACAGGCATGAGGGAAGAACACAGGCAGCTTAGCCGCAAGAACACGGCTGACCACCCGGGACACCATCACCCGCGAACCGGGAAGAACAGAACCGGATCAACGCAAAACGCGCTCCGGACCCAAACGCCGTGGCACGCAAACAACAGCAGAGGGCCGCCACTGAACACAAAAACGACACACCCCCGGCCCGACCAACAAAGCACCAACAAACCCTGGACCCCTCCAGAATGCAGCAGCCCCACCCCGCGCCAGAAAAGATGGAGACTGCTGCCATCAAACAACCAAAACGCTAAAACCGAAGGAGCAAGAAAACACAGCGAACCGACCCCCAGAGGCAAAGGCCCAAAGGAAAGAGCCGACGAAAAAACACACCGGAACCGAAGGGGCACTACCAACCGAGGAGAAGACAGAGCACGCTGACCAGAGACCAGGATGGTGCAAGCGGCGCACGAACAGGCCGGAGGTGAAATGACGCACAAGACAGCTGACTAACGGTGCAGAAGCAACACCAAGACCGAAAGCAAGCTGAAGCGGCTCCGCCTGCGCCGCACGAAAAGAGGCGACAGTATGTGGCAAGACGACGGCCCCCAACCCCTACTAGAAAACCAAGCCGAGAGTAAACCAAGCCAACAAGAAGGACCCACCGAAGAAGGGACAGGAAAAGGAAGGACCGCCAAAATACCCCATACTGCCGCCAAGAAAGCACGCAGGTGGGACACCTACCACGAAGCCACCTGACCACCAACCGGAGGCGAGACCACGAGGCAGAACATAAGCAGCCCCGACAAGGCCCCCCCGAGCCCAGGAAAAAGGCGGAGCCGCGAGAAGATCTCGGGCGCGACCACCGAAACCCAGGCGGCACAAGGAGATGGAACGTCTGCCGAACAGAAAAACTCCGAAGCATGCAAGCCCGCCAGGAGTTCAGAAACGACGGGTCCGACGCGAGACATCGCAAGAACCCCCCCAAAAAAAGTAAAACAACAACAACCGGCAGGGCAAGCTAGGAAAACCAAAGAAGGCGGAAGGGTCGCCGCCAGAACAGGACCCGAACCAAGGGGCACGAACAACTGCAACAGACCGAGACAAAGAAGCACATCACAGGACACAGGCTGACCAACGCCTAAGAACACACGCAGAACATTCCTGCTGCAGAAGAGGCAGGAAGAAAGAGCAGAAGCACAAAAAAAAAAAAAAAAAAAACCAGGAGAACAACCAGGGGTGGACAATCAGGCAGGGACAAAAACCCCACGCAATCCCCAGGCACAAAACGGCAGCAAAGCGCCACTCCACAACCGGACACAGGAACAAGGACACGCCACCGTGAAACACGGTACCAATGCTCACGTGCAGCAGCAGCAGCAACAGGCACCACTGCAACATGCAACATGTAAATAGCAACTCCCCTCTGCAAAGGCAGAGAACGGAGCAGGCAGACCCCAGACAGGGCCAACGGAGACACGACAAAACCCTGCAGGCCCAGAAACCTGCACCAGGCGACCGACGGCGGAGAAAACCCCGCTCGATACCTGCTGGATGAGGTACTGGGAGCTCTTTTACACCTCAAGCCCGGCCCAAGGTCAGGCCAGACCGGCCAGAGGATGGCCCACCAGGCAGCTGCTAGGAGCAGTCCACCGGCCCACATACCCCCACAACCAGGACGGGCCGGAACTGCCATACGAAAACAGGCCAGTGCGCCCTGGAAGTCCACGGACGAACCAGCAAGAAGGCTTATGCTCGCAAGTAGGTCGTGTAACAAGCACAGACCACTGATGGTAATACAGTGTTCCCCAAAAGTGCCAATAGCACCACTGCACTCCACTGGTACTATCCCGCAAGTTCTACCAGATAGGCGGGACCCAAGAGCCAGAGCTCAAATCCTGCAAGCACAGCCAGGAGCCTCACCAGGTGAGTACAGAACCAAC